AGTTGGAACCCATCTGTCTCACTTGGGTGTGTGTGTGTGTGTGTGTGTGTGTGTGAAATGTCAAGTCCTGTGCCACACGGCAGTCTGCCCTGTACTCCAGGTACAGTTTATTTCCATATAGATGCTGAACGTGTTCTCAGGATGAGCCTGCATACACGTGACTTATTCAATCAATTGTTTCTGAAAAGATGTTGTACTCCCAGTTCTATCACCTTCAAGGTCAAATATGATTTTTGAATATCCAGTGTGCAAATGCACACTATTGCATATGTTTCCTTCTAGCAGCCAAGCTGCTAAGGTCTCAGCGTGAGACCCGTAGATTTGGGGTTACTGAAAAAGCTATAATCTTTTTAAACTGCATTGTCATGATTAGCACATGCAGAGGTTGTGTATCTACTCTGCTCACAATTTCAAGTCAAGATGGTTATAGGGAAAGATGTCGTGGTAGAATAATGGCCTCCAAGGATTTCCATGTTCTAGACCCCCACACCTGTGAATATGTTACCTTACATGGCAAAAGAGACTTTGCAGATATTTCTAAAACAAGGACCTTGAGGTAGAGAGATTATTCTGGATTATCTGGGTAGGAACAATGTATTGCAAGGATCCTCCTAAAAGGAAGCAGTAAGAGCAGGCCTGAGGAGATGTGATAGCAATAGCACAGGTCCCAGACTGAGACATGGGAAGATACCACCTGCTGACTTTAAGCATGAAGTAATGGTCTATGAATCAATGAATCTGGGCAGCTTCTAGAAACTGCGAAGGAGAGCAAATGGATTGATTCTTTCCTCAGAAAACCAGAACCAGCCAGTCCTGTCAATACCCTGACATCAGATTAGGGAGGCTTATTTTGGACTTCTGTCCTCCAGAACTTAGAATAGGTTTGTGCTGTTTTAAGCCCCTGAATGTGTGGTAACTCATAACAGCATAGGAAATCAATGATGACACTTATGTTAGATTACTGTATATACCTTGTTAGGTCTTAGAAAGTGACTGATCATATTCCTCAAACTAGGAGAAAGCACAGGGTGACATAAATAGCACAGAGGCAGAAAAAGAAGGAGAACAAATGGAAAAAATTTAGAATTATAGAATACAGTTCCCATTAGAAGGAGTTTAGAAATTAGTTATGTGTTTTATACAGGAGATGATGGTTTATGACCATATATGTTCAAGGACTTGAGCAACTTCATGGAGATGGTTCATGTCTTACTTCAGACTAACTCTGGCCTGAATTTTGAAGGCACATGACCCTAGTTATTAGCAGTAGCCAACAGAGTGCTTATCTGTTCCATGTAGGATTGTGAGTGATCTTAATAGATTGCTATTTTAACTCTCTTGACCCTATGAAGTGAATAATTATTAGCTCACTTGAGAGACTGGACAGCTGAGGCTTAAAGAGATTTAGGTAACTTGTCCAAAGTTGTGAGCTTAGAAAGAGAAAAGCTCTGTTTAATGCAGTTTTAAATAGGATTAATATAAATTTATAGGTTTATATTTTTGACAATGGCACTTCCATTCATGGATAAAAGTCATGCTCATTTTATATTGAAAATTCACTCTAAGAAGTATTAAAAAACAAGACAAATATAATTTTCCCTTAGGAGTAATGCTCAACCTCTCTGAATCCACTGAGCACTTTTACTATTCTGAATCTAACATTTTAGAGCCCTAAAGCCTGCCTTCCATCGGCCGTCACATGTGTGTTCCTCATTTCAGTTCTGAGAGTAAATAGGAGATTACAGTGTCTTTGTACTTACTCCTCCTAGGTGAGAGGGGGAGATGATGGGCTTGCATAGTTGGCCTTTGAACTTCATTATGATTGAGATATAGGCAGAATATACTTATTAGCAAACAGCCAGTTTACTGTGCTAAATTTTTAAGAGAGGAGGTAAATAATCCACATGGGCAGTGGTTTTTCATCAATATCTAAGAAATAGACATGAGTATAATTATATGGCTTCAAGTCTGCTTATTACCAGGTTTGCAGTTCACTTACCTGAGGAGTCTCAAGTATCTTTGATTATTGATTGGGTTGTGGGTTGGGCTCACTACATGGCTGTTCATTAATCTCTCAGGGCTCTAGGCTTCAGCATGGTTTCCACACAGCAATCCTTTCCTAGCTTCTGAATTTAGACAAAGGAAGGCTTCCTGGGTTGGGAAGCTTTTCCCTAGAAATAACATGTAGTCCATCATTTTGGATTGGATGTCAATTCCTCCTGGTTTATCCCTGCCCCTTTTTATGACCTTGTCCTACAGTTTCTCTGCAGTTGTTTTCTCTTTTCACACCATATCCGTGATTCTAGCACTAAAGGGAGCTGTACATTTGGAACCAAAGATCAGAACACACATTTCAGCAAATGTTTTGGCACATGTTGAGACAATGGCACAGATTTTGAAATTTGTGCTGACCCAGAAACTGACCTCCTTCTCCACCTCAGCAGGACCAGAGGGAAATTCCAAATGCCCTTCTTTTCTCTGTGCAGTGATGGCCACCTGCCTCCACCTTCCTGTGTTTCTGATCTCTTGGCATCAAAGTTATCCCACAGATTGCAGGTCCTCAAACCTGGCTATACTTTATAGTTAACTGGAGAACTTTTAAAACATACCATTCCCTGGGCCCTATTTCAGTCCTGTTTAATAAGAATCTTGGTGGGAAGAGGGTCCATATTTCAGTCTTTTAAAATTATTTTAGTGTGCACCTAGGTTCTAGACCAACCCCAGTAACCCACAAATAAGTCTATATTTCTTCTCCTTGCTGATCCTAGTACTCCAAATCCAGTAGTTCAACTTATGTGGGTAAAACTGCCTTCCAAATCCGCCTCTTGCTCATCCTCACCATCTGCCTTAGAACTTTCCTGGCTAGGGAAGGGGATCAGACTGTGCCACCTCAAATTGTGCCACTTTGATGTAAAAGACTATTTTCAGCTAAAGATATCTGAGATTCAACAAATGCAGAAACAAAGCCTTCTTGGAGTTTTCCTTACCTATCTAAAAGCAGCAACTTCTGTAAAAAAAAAAAGACGGCCGTGAATTATTCTGCAGAGTGAATCTAGAAGGGAGAATGAGGAAAAAAAAAAAAAAAAAAAAAAACCTATCCCAAATCCCTTCTCTAGTGAAATTTTATGGACTTGGAAGGAGGTAAAAGACCAATCACATCTGAGTAGATAAACATCACCAACTTTCTTATCTTGTTTGTTCTCCTGAAAACTCATTTATCTTTCCCAAAAGTCGTGTGTTCTTCCATAAGCACCTTTAGCCTCCTCCCCTTTACCTGTTAAGATTGTATAAAAGCCATAATTCTAACCTTCCCTTAGAGTTACTCCTCACTAAGCCCTTTTGCACGTAAAAATGTTACACCTGTAAATAAACCCTGTTTTTTTCCTGGGAATCTGTCTTTTGTTAGTATAATTTGCAGAGACCATGAGCTGAACCTAAGAGGGAGAAGAGAAAGTTTTTCCTTTCCTACATGGAGACCTCCAAGTAACTTTCATTTTTTCTGATATTCTCTTTTCTCATTTATCAGAGTGATTTTTCTAGAACATGAATATACTCATGCCGCCCACTCTCTTTCTTAACATTCTTTAATAATTTTTCAGGATTTCAGGACAAAACCATTTCATGACCACTACCTGCCTCTCTATTTTCACACTGTCACCCTACTCCTATCCTCCTGTACTCCATAAATCAAATGACTGGCTTTCTCTGTCTTCATGCCTTTGCTCCTCCAATTCTCCACTGCCATGGCTCTTAAGCTAAGAGCTGCAGTCCTTCCTCAGGCTGAGATAGTCCTTTTCTCTACATAAACTCCATTTCTCTTTAGACTTGTGCCTAACTATTCAGGTATTACCACACTGAGTAGATTCTCAGTCCCATACTGTGAATCTCACTTATATTTATACCTGGGAGCCTAATTCTGTGCCAGGCACAATAGTCCATGTTTGATAATGAGTATCAATGTGTGGAAGACTGAAGAAAGAAATGGGCCTGTTAAATGGTAGCATGCCATCTCTAGCATTTTCTTCATTGAGAACTTCTCCATGTCCTTTCAAAATTAACAGAAAATGTGTTGCTGTAGAAATAACAACTTCAAGATGGCAAGATATTAATAATGATGCTTATCTGAGCCAAAGTTAAATTTGACACAGGCATATACCATTTTGTAAGACTCATATAGGGAAGTGAGGAAGTGAATGACTTTTATGATTTCTGGGGTAAAATTTTCAGCTGTATAAAGAATAACTATTTGATAGAAGAGAAGAATTTGTAGCTAAGCTTGGCATAAGTGAATCTCAGGGTGAAAATGGCTTCATTCTCAGACCTTGGACCTGTTTTGGATAGATGTTGCTTAGGAAGCTGGCTTTTCCTCAGCCTTAATTTTATATATATATATTTAGTTATAGTTGGACAAATACCTTCATTTTATTTATTTATTTATTTTTATGTGGTGCTGAGGATCAACACTGTTCCTTGCACATGCCATCGAGTATTCCCCTGATGAGCCACAACCCCAGCTCCTAGCCTTGAATTTTGATGACTGTAAATGACAACTGTAGTTCTTTTGAGTTTAAAGATTGTTTTGAATGACTTGACCTATAATAATTAATATTCCCTGATTTTTGCTGAGACCCCTTGCTCCAGTGAACTACACACATACCTTTGCCCTCATTGACATGGCAGAAACTTCCTGATGTGGTGTGGGATCATCCAAATCATGTTTCTGGAAAACAGAGAATATTTAAACAATAGACTTGCATTGCCAGTCATCTAGTGTTATGGTTTGGATATGAGGTGCCCCCAAAATCTCACAGGTGAGACAATGCAGGAAGTTTCAGAGGAGAAATGACTTAACTGGATCAGTGAATTAATCCCTAATAGGATTAACTGAGTGGTAACTGGAGGCAGGTGGGGTGTGGCTGGAGGAAGTGGTTAATTGGGGGCGTGGCTGTGGGGTATATATTTTGTATCTGGAGCTGGAGTCTCTCTTGGCTTCCTGATATGAGCTACTTCCCTTTGCCACACTTTCCCGTCACGGAGCCAGCAGTCTACAGATTAAGACCTCTGAAACGGTGAGCCCTCAAATAAATTTTTCCTCCCCCACAGTTGTGCTGGTCAGATCCTTTAGTCATGGCAGCAGAAAAACCTGACTAAAACACCTGGTTTTGCATTTGCCAACAGAATTTTGACTTAAGTTTCTCTTTTCCAGTATTATTTATGTACATTTAAAAATAAGTGATTCTAGAATTATCTGGATGTCAATATTTGATAGGAAACATTGCTTTGTGTAGGAACTATGATTTTAAAATTCTGGAGTCATTTTACTCAGATACATTTATTTCTTTGTTTTGTTTTGTTTTGTTACTAGAGATTGAATTGATTGACTTAATCACTAAGCTACATTCCCCAGCCCATTTTATTTTTTACTTTGAGACAGGGCCTCGCTGAGTTGCTGGGGATGGCTTTGAACTTGCTGTCCTTCTGCCTCAGTCTCCTGAGCCACTGGAATTACAGGCATGCATTACCATTCCCAGCATGCCCAGATACTTTTTAAAGCAAATATTATTTCAGGCTATGTGTAGCCTAGTTAGGGAAAGAGCAATTTATTATAACCTCATCTGAACACTTACACTTTCTGTTTTAGGGAGGTGTGAGCACACACACACACACACACACACAGGTTGGTAAATAGTTACCTTGTTATTCTGTTTAGCTCCCAAATGCTGGACTTCCCCTTTTTATTTTCCAGGGTGTGGTCTATATAAGTAATGATGTTAAGTTGAGTTGTTGGGGCAAAAGCTGCCTCTATACATATTTTAAGTTTGGTCTAAAGGTTTCTCCATACAGAGTGAATGGCAATATAACTTGATATGTAAACAGAATGCAACCTATTATGGTGACAAAGTACTGAGTCTTAGCCAATACAAATGGTCAATGGTTAAAGCCATGTTCCAAGGAGACAGACAGGAGCTGTAGCCAATCAAGTTATCTCTATAACACTTTGATTTTATATAACTCACTTTCTTTTTTGTGGCTATAATTATAACTTGCCCATGAGGTAGGAAAGAACATTCTGGCCTGGATTACTGCCAGATTCTAGAATTGCAAATAAAGCCAATTAAGATTTGCAAAATTAGATTTGTTGTAATTTTCTCTTTTAACAATAGAAATATAGAATTGGAAGGGAAATATTAAATGAGATCTTTGAAGCTAATCTTTGAGGCTCAGTTCAGAAATCATTTCCTTAACAGCTTGGGCAGGGGCTTTATTGCTTGATCATAAACCTTTTAGTGATGGGACCTTGACTACCTTGGACTATGCCCATTTCACTGTTGCTCAGTTTTAAACGTTAGAAATTTTTTTCTTCCCTAGGTGTCAGTAAGAAAATTTGAGTATTTCAGGCCATTATTTGCTTGTGAGCATAGATGGATCAGGACCTAACCTTAAGGTATAGTCCTCTAGCAGAAGAAATGGCTGCTTCCCATCATCACCCCAGGAATTTCCCATAGCAGGGAAGTGTCTCCAGCTGGCTGGGCTGGTGAGGTGAGCTGGGTTTAACAGAGCTGGCTCTATCAGTAACTAAGAAAACAGCAAAGAAACCATGTAGCACATGAACATGAGTCGAGGGCAGGATGGCTTGGTGACCCCAAGTGTCAGCTCCATGCTGGGCAGTGCTGTAAAGAGCAAGAGAGAGAGCACACCTGAAACCTCCCTATTTATTGGGGAGAGGATATTCTATAGAATATTCCACCCAAATAAGGCAAGGGTTAGGGTTTCAAAGGGTGGAGTCTTGCTTGGTGATGTTTTGTGGTCAGCAGATTGATTGACATCTTGGCAAGTCACACCTGTCACAGGTGCTATGTGGGATCACAGGCAGAGCGAGAGGAAAGGCACATTTGTGTCGCACAGCCCGATCAGTGTGTAATGCCAGACCAGTCCCCTCATATGCTCAAATGTGCATAGCTCACACACACAGCCTGTGGATGGCTCGTGATAGGGAAGGAAGACTTGCAGTGGCAAATTTTAGTATGAAAGTATTGAACAACTTGCTCTTTTCTGTAGGGTAAAGAAGGCGGTTTGGCTTGGATGCCAGAGTGTGCAGGCACAGAGAGATTTTCTTTTCCTAGGCAGAAGGGTAGGTGCTTCTGATCATGTGGAGGCAGCTTAGAAGTGAGTCAGAAAACTGTATTGGAGACCTCATGATGAGTATGAAGCAAACCAGGTGACTTCAATTTATGTGTACAGTCATTTTTCCATTGTCTGGATCATATTATGCCTATTGAAAATTATATTGTGTACTTAGTCATGCTGCAGACTTAGGGGAGGATTTATGTTTACCAATAAGGGAAAGGGCCATAGGGGTGAGAACATTGTCCATTCTCTTGGTGGTAATGCCATCAAAGGTGTCTTTCAGCTCCATAGTTTGGGACTTCCTGTCATTTTCCTTTACATATCTTCAAATCTTCCTCATGCTCTGCTCTGTTCCTTTCTTTCTAGTCTCTTGGATGCAGGCAGATCCAACTTTCTTCCTTAACTAGTATTTTCCAGGCTGTGATTTTGAGGTTCTTTGCGGTCCTGGTTAGTAGCATTAAGATGCCTGGTAGATGGTCCACATCCTATATAAAAAATAACTATATGGAACCCATTTATCCTCCAAATGAACAGAAGCAGAACATGCCAATTGAAAGGACTCTGATATTGGAACTATGATGTCATCTCTACCTGTGTCAGGGATACTTCAACATCCCTGCTCACTACCTTGATTTCTGCTAGAATTCGGGCCCTGGAGATCTAGGTCTGCCACAGGTAAGTTGAGCAGTTGACAGGACAATTTTTCAAGGGGAACATGAAGGTTGATCTCAGGACTATATTCTAAGAAAAAAGCTACATTTCTTTTTTCTACTCTAAATCACTGGTAAAGTATTGGCAGCTTTTGAGCTTCTGTGTTTCCAATAATTCTTGGTTTTCAATAATTCTTCCATTAATCTGTATAATTAGATTACTGTCAGTACATTAAAACAAACTCTCTGAGGACACAAAACCTTTACCAGGCCTGCTCATGATTGAAATAATTTATCTTTGTTAAATCACAAAACCTTTGTGTTTTCTTCAGAGAAGCTGCTAGAATTTTATTTCTGCATCTAAGCATCTAGTGGCTGATCTGAAAAATGCATCTAAAAAATTTCCAGGGGAAATAAATGAATGCTTCAACCTGGAGGAAATTTCTCAAAAGTGTGGAGAAAGAGTGACCAACAAAGGACCATTCCTCTTGTTAAAAAGAAAAGGGAATTGGGACACACAATCAATGTGGCCAGGTTTACAGTGGCATTTATGACGTGAACCTGGGCAAGCTCAGAGCATGCACTGGACAGGTGAGGTGAGGCAGCGGGCTTGTCGGTACTCTGTGAAGCAGAGCAAACACTCTGGCAAATACAGGGGCCTGTCACCTCTGCTCCCAAATAGAATTGATGTCACAGAAGGAAAAACTGTTTGGAGATTTCAACCCCAGACTGCTGATTGCCTTACCCATAATACAACACCTCTGTCAGTGGCTGCAGCCTGGCTTGGCTCTGGAAAATCATGGGAGAGATCAACAGTGTGCTGGATAAGGGCTGATGAGGTTCAGCATCATTCATTCATCATCAGTCACCTAAGTCAGCAACTCGATTTTCCCTCAGCAGAAAGCCAGAGAAACACAATAGTCAGCGTTGAGTTCTTACAGTTGGGGATTAGTTTATAAAGGTTATGTTCGTTTGAGATTTTGGTCATCTGGGATGTGACCACAAGGAAGAAGGGGCTCTCTCATTTTCTCTTTTGGAGGTAGACACACTAGCGTCCTGATAATACTGTGTAGAATTGGTAGGCCATGTATTTTATGTCAACTGATGTCATTGAATGAAAAGCAAAACAGAAGAGAGAGGTGTTTGGTAATTACTTTTCCCTTCTATTGTCCAGTCTGGAAATATGAAATCATCAGAAACCTTCAACACAGCTCCAAATGTTGCATTGCTCTTTTTGACACACAAAGCTTGATCTCTCTCAAAAGGTTAGAGCATCAGCACCAGCCCATACTCCAAGTATGTGAAAGGGAATGGGCACAAGGTATGGAACATATACATTTACATATGAATTTTTTGTGTGTACATTTGCTCCATGGGATCATTAATGACTCTTGAGGAATAACTTATCGGTGATTTTTTAAGAAAATTTCTGTGTTGTGTTGACTTTATCATTATATGCCACTTCTGGGGTAAACAAAAATTATTAATTAAACAAAAATGTATTGCATGCTTACCATATTCCAACAATGAATTGGGTACTGGGTATAATGTTGATGCTAATGGAATTTTTTTTTTAAAAAGCAAAAATTTGGGATATAGGCCTTTTATTAGGCATAATGAAATTCATTTAGACAGTTAACATTATTTTATGTGTGGTGAGATAGGTGTTTGGCAAAAGATGTTTGACTTCTTTTGCTAAGGACATTCAGGGATTTTTATGATTATTTTGTTGTTTGTAGCATGTAGACCTAAAGTGAGGACACCTTATCTATGATGGAATTGCAAACTTTTTTTTTCCCAGGAAATTAAAATCAGGCAGTTCCTATTTGCATTATTTTTAAAGGCTGAGCCTTTCCTATTCTAGAGGAATAGGAAACTGTTTTTTTTTTCCACGATGATTAAGTTGCTTTAATATGACTTTTTATGCTATTCTATAGGAAAATCAACTTTTTGTGTTTGTGCTCAGTTTTATGCACTTTAAATAGTATCGCAATCATCATCTTCAGAGTTAATAATTCTTCTCTATTTTGTTTGAAAAATCCCTGAAAGAATGATGTTTGATCATCAGTAAGGAGTGGCACTAAATAGTCTCCATGTGGGAGGGAGCTTCTGTTTGCCAGGTCATGAGTCAAGTGATGATTTGGTCAAATGTGGAGGGACTTTTTCCATCTATACCAGGTGTTCTAAGGACTGATCCTGTGGAGTCATTAATCATTATCTTTCAGCCACCTGCACAGCCTCCCTATGGCCTCCTCAGGAAAACTCAGGCCAAGGTAGACTTCTGGTAAGGTGCTGATTGCCTTGGTGAAGTTGAGGGATGGAAAGAGGGGAAAGAAGCTGCTCCGATATAAAAACAGGAGATTTGAACAGGACCTAAGCTGGTAGCATAGCTAGTGGTTATCCCTGTTAAAATAAAAATACATATTCATTCCAACTAAAGATTCTTAAAATTCTTAGCAGTTCCATTACTGAGATAAAACTATTATTAATATTTTGGTGTGATATTTCTATATAAAATGTGTCTGAACAGAAATCATCACCAAATAGATGGCAGTTATCTTGCTTGATAGAAAATTAAACTAATTTTCCCCTAACCCTAACACTAGTCCTCAACCTAACCCTATAAACCAGCTTGGTCAATGAATATTTTACAGATCTGATGATTCAATACCTATGAACAATTAATTTTAATTTGGTTGAAGATATATTTTAAATTCATTTAAAAATATACTCACTGGAAAATACTTATGTTTTAACATGTTTCATGAAATGAGTTCTTAAACTTCTCATTTTTAGATCCACCTCTTTGTTATCTAATATAATTTCTAGAAAACATCATCTTGCTTTATAGGTAGTTTTATATAAAGAACATTAAAGCTCTGTTAAACGTCATTGAAAACTTCACCCAACTATATTCAAATAATGTTAAGGTAGCCATTTGGTTTGCAATTTTGCTGTACGTATATATTTGTGATTTGTACAATATAACTGCTTAATTCTGGTTTTTCAATTCATATCCCCAGCCCTTTTTTTAATATTTTATTAGAGGCTCTGACTTGCTGAGTTGCTAAGTGCCTTGCTAAGTTGCTAAGACTGGCTTTGAACTCCAGATCCTCCTGCCACAGCCTCCCAAGCCACTGGGATTGCAGGTGTGCACCACCACGCTGGGCTTCTTTTGTATATTCTAAGAGACACTTTGTAATTTTCTTTTGTTTTGAGACAGGGTCTTCCTGTAGTGTCCAGGCTGGTGTAGTACTCAATGGATCTTTCTGCCTCAACCCCCAATTCATATTTTTAAATAAAATTCTTATCCTGTAAATTTTTAGTATGGCTATTTTCAGAAATTGCCATTTTTTTCTTCCTATCCCTGCTTATATGTATGTTTTCCATGAAATTTTGTTGCCCCTCCCTGTTGTGATGGATTCTATTTCTCCAATGTGAGTCTGGACTTAGCCAGATGACTTGTTTGGGCCAGTGTGTCCTTAGAAACCAAGAAACAAGCTGGGATTGAAATTGGGGTTTACTTTATTGCTGCTCATAGAAGCACTGCAGCTACCATCATGTGAAGAAGCCTGGATGAGTCATGGTGCTTGACTTAGTTGTCTCTATTGACCCCCCTGATGGCCAACTAACTGCCAGATACAAGTGTGAAGCCATCTAGTGTTAGCTGACCACAACACACAGTGAACCCAGTGAAAACAACATGGAGTAGAGATCATCCCTTCTGAGCTCAGCCTAAATCATCATCCCATAGAATCTTGAACAAATCAAATGGTTCCATTCAAACTACTAACATTTGCAGTTATTTGTTACAGAGCAATAGCTAACCAAATTTATTGCCTTTCAGACATTGTTTATTGACTTCCTTTTATGATAAATGAGGATTTGGCTCTCATACACTCCTCTCTCTCTTAAAAGTTCACTTTTCTACACTCCACCTAAAATATTTATATTACAGATCTTGGTTAACCCAAAGTCAGTGATTGCAGTTTTGATTTTTAAATATTGTTTACATCAGAGCCAAATAGACTATTAGAACTTCTTTTTGAATTTTTCTTGGAGATAATTATTGTCTCTTAGAAATTCCCTTAGCTTTCTTTTTATTTCTTCTTCAACAATTTCCTTCAGATCTTTCCACAATAAATGAATAAATATTTTTTACTGATAGTCATGTCAAGCAATACTATAAAGCTATGGTAATCAAATGTACTGGCATAAAAATAGCCATACACAGCAATGAACCAGAAGAAGGAGCCCAGGAAGGAATCAACATTTACAGTCAACTGATCTTTGACAAAGGTGCGAAGGACATGCAATGGAGAAAGGATAGTCTCTTCAGTAAATGTGGCTGGAGAAACTGGATATCCTGCTGCCTAAGGATAAGATCATACCCTGATGTCACACTATGTACAAAAACCAACCCAAATGGGCTAACAGCTTCAAGGTAATACCTGAACCTAAAACTAAAAGAAAAACAGGGATAACGCTTGATTGTTGACTTTGTTCTGGGTAATGACTTTTTTTTTTTTTTAATATGACTCCAAAAGCATAGGCAATAACAGTAAAAATGGACCAAGGAAATGACAGCAAACAGAAAGCTTCTGCATAATAAAGAAAACATCCAGCAGAATAATATATAGTATGGGAGAAGATATTTAAAAACTATACATCTGATAAAAAACTAATATCTAAAATATATAAGAATTAGTTACAAAGGGATGAAGGACCTAAAGAGATGTTTATTTTTAAAAAGACAATTGGCCAATGTATATATGAAAAAATGCTTAAAATCACTGATCACCAGGGAAATGCAATCTAAGACCACAGTGAGATACTACTAGAACATCTATTATCAATAAAACAAAAGATAACTCTCATTGGCAAAAGTCAGAAACAGAAAAATTGCTCAGTCTTGGTAGGAAAGTAAGTCAGTACATCCACTAAGGAAAAGAGCGTGGGGATTTCTCAAAAAAATAGAAATAAAACTACCATATGATTTAAAAATCTTACTCCAAAAGAAATTAAATCAGTATGTCAAAAACCTATCTGCGAGTTCATCGAAGCACTATTCCCCAAACTCAAGATATGGAGTTAATCTAAGTTTCCACCAGCTGAGGAGATCAAGTAAATGTGTACATATTTTCCATGGAATATTATTCATCCTTAAAAAAATGATAATCGTATCATTTTCAACAATCTATATGAACCTGAAATGAAACAAAACAAGTATAAAGATGTAAGTGTTTCATGATGTAACTTACCCATGGAATCTAAGACTCACAGAATCAAAGCATAGGAGAGAGGTGTTGGGGCTAGGGTGGGGGATGCAGAAAGGAGGAGGTTTGTCCAAGGGTGCAAGTTTTAGTTAGGATGAACATGAATTCTGGAATCCACTCTACAGTGTGGACACTATAGTTAACATATTATAATACTTGAAATTTGTTTAGAGAGATCTTAAATACTCTCACAGCAAAAAAGATAAGGTGATGGCATTGTTAGTTAGTGTGATTTAATAATTTTGCTGCATATACATACGTCAAATCATCACATCACACACTGAAAATACATATAATATTTATTTGTCAGTTATACCTTAATATAGCTGAAGAAATTAAGATTAAAAATCAGATGACTTATATTGGTTTTATTATTTTCTTGGTGGATTTTTTCTGGAGCTCTCTGTCCTCTTGCTTTCATCTCGGGTTGTATAACTGATGCTTGGCCATTCTTTAGTGTTAGATACTCTGATTCTTAGGTACTTATGTCTGTATCTTTTGTTATCTCAAACAATGCTTCCAAGTACTTTCTGGGTGACCATATGAGTTATGTAATATATTAGATTTCTGTAACTATACCAAATATCTGAGATAATTGACTTATAAAGAGAAACTTATTTTGGCTCATACTTTTTGGGGTTTTTCAGTCCATGATCCTATTGTGTTTGAGCCTGTGGTTAGGAAGCACATCATGGCGGGGAGCCCATGGTGGAGCAAAGCCACTTACCTCATGGCTGGAACGTGAAAAGGAGAGAAAAAAAAAGAGAGGTGGGGTTTCTGCTGTCTCCTTCAAGGACTATGCCTTATGACCAGAGGACTGCCCACTAGGCTCCATGTCTTGAAGGTTCCACCACCTCCCATTAGTGCCAAGCCAGGGACTAACTAAGCCTTCGATACATTGATTGTCATTACAAGACATTACACACCCATACTATAGCACCTTACTTTTCTGATTCTTGTTTTCTTTACCAGTGAAATAAGAACAATGCTTCACCATGCTTTGTATGGAAAAAATTCTTTGTGAAGGGCAATGACATAATGTCTGTGGTTGCAGTTTTTAACTTGTAAAGTTAAAAAAAAATGTTATTATGTGAGAGAATTAGAAGCCTGGATCAGGAATGAGAAGCTATTGTACTGAATCCAAATATGACCTTATGCTTGTAATCTCTCTGAAGTCCTAGACAGACTTCTGGGTGGGGGCATATAGTGGAGTACTACAAGAACTGAATTGAATCTGGAGATTTCAGTCATAATCCTGCATCTGCCACCGATAAAGTTGTGAGACATTGGATAGGCCATTTAGCCTTGTTGGGCTTAGATTTGTTCACTTGTAAAGTGGGGCTCTGTGGGGGAGGGTCTCTGTGTCGCCCAGTGTTAAAACTCTATGGTTCAGCCACCTCTAATTCAAAGGGAAGCAGGTTGTATTTTAGACTGGACATGTGACAGATTTTTGCCATGGTCAAGAGATAGTTAAACGAATCCCTGACAACAAAGTCAAATAACACACAGCAACGAAACTCTGAGGTTTAATTTTCCTCCCTTGGAAATGCTGACCTCCTGAACACTATGGTGGACCTGCCTTGTCACTCCTTGCCTGGCTGCCTTCTGGAAGTGATGCCCAGACACACTGGCCTCCAGATAGCAAGCTCTCCCACGTGCTGGAGCCTGGGGCCACCTGCGGCATGTCTGCCCACCTCATCTCTCCACTGCACTCACTGGAGCAGAGAAGATTAACTTTCTGAAAATGAAAAGGACAGAGAGAAGGAGCTGCTTATCAAATATGCACATTTCAGATGGAACTTCACACTCAGTAGAAAGATGTTAGATTGCTGTTAGCTCTCTGGAGCGCTCCTGACAATGTGTTATCAGGTCATGTTTGCATGACAGAGGCAGCCCAAGCAGGAAACATTAAGTCATATGACTTCTAAGACGGAATCAATCAAGTGAGCAGTACAGCTCCTGAAAACTAATTTCACCTTCATAAGGTCTGGTTATCTATGCGGCAGACATGAGGTTTGTCAGCCCCATTTCAGTCTGACCAGGTTCAGCGCTGCATCAAGAATTTTAATGAACCGACACTGTAATATGTATGAAAGATGACACTGAGATGAATTCATGAAAAGCCAAGTCCCCATGAAATATGAACAATTACTTGCAGCCTCCTTCGCCTACTTAGCTCATTTGAAATGTCCATTTCAAAGGTCTTTGTCTTTCTCTGATTCATTTGCAAGTTTGTGCACAGATTTTCATCATATTTAACCAGTTTAAAAACCAAAGAAGTCATTCACAATCAAACAGTTCAGTGAGCTCCGGCTTGATGGGGGCACAGCCAAGGCCAGCCACAGCTTAAATCTTCATTTGGCTACAGATACACAGATTTCCTTGTGTGAGGAAGAAAGGACTTGATAAAACTGGCTTGCATATGCTGATTGGGTCATCTGCATTCAGTGTGGCCCTATGAAAGTTATAAAATTTATTTGAATGACATCATTCTTTCTCTGGTAGTGGTAATATTTATTAGTTTTCTTCATCCAAACAATGTTACTGGGCTTATGTTTTCTTTGGAAAATATGTGTTGTATTAGCTTTTTTACCACTGTGACAAAATGCTTAAAATAATTAACCTGTAAGGATGAAAGATTTATTTTGACTCATGACTTCAGAGGCTGCAGCCCCATTACTTTGGTCTTATGATGAAGTAGAATATCATGGTGGACGGCACATGGAGGAAAAAACTTGCTCACCTCACAGTGACTGGAATGGGGGAGAGACAGAGGATGGGGTGTGGGTACCAATATTCTTTTCAAGGGTACACTATCAATGATCTGACTTTTTTAAAGTTTGTATCATCAGCCAATAGCTCCAGCAGCTGGGGGACTGAGCCTTCAACACACAAGCCTTTGGGTAGCATTTACAATTAACACCATAATGTGGTGAAGTCACAAGTAGCCTTTCCAAGAAGATCTTGTGTGTCTGCATATGGCATCTCAATCCGTTCTCTAAATCCTGTAGCTTTTTTTGGGAACTTCATTCG